TTTGTAAAAATCCCCAAAACATTTTCTTGTTCACGAGTGAGTTACAACTTTAAAGTGAGAGTGATTTAGTTACAGTTAGCAGTTGAATTCACTAGATTTCTGTCCCTATGAACGACAGAAGTTACTTACTACTACTGCAATCACTGCCAGTCCAGCCAATCTCACATACGCACTTTCCTGTAGCAGGATGGCAGGTGGAGTTATTTTTACAGTCACAAAATTTATCACACTCTGGACCCCAACGACCACTTTCGCAGTGATTATCACAATGTAAACCTAAGACAAAAAATAAAATTAATTAAAATCATAACCACAAACTCAAAATAACCTCGATTCTGACAGCTAAAAATGTAAACTACCCTACTACTGCTTTCTTATAGGTGTGGGATTTAACTACTGATTATATAAAAAAGTTTAAATTGTTAAAAGAAACTGACCATCCCCAAAAGAAACATTTTTTACTCCTAAAGTTTTGTTATATTAGCTAGGGATGATTTCTCAGTAAATATAAGCTTACACATTGAACAAAGTTGATAAAAAATTTACAGGTGAGACCCCCCCCCTTTCCTCTGAGCTGCAAAGATATTAAAGTTGGAACATGTTTATTTTTCTTTTCTTCATAAATTACACTAAATAAATGTGACAAACTATGAATTCTAACATATATGTGAGTTAAAAATTGTTGAAATAATAGTTATATAAACTTTAAAATTTCATAATTAAAAAGTACTAACAGGCGTGGATAGGAAAATCAACAGTTGACTTAAAACACGATAACGTGTGCATTCAGTAAGATACTATTACTTGTTTAGGATTAAACTAATGAGTTTGTTGTAAAGGCCTTTTTTTGAAGACTTCCTGAAATCAAGGTAGACAAGGGGGGGGGTATTTTTAGACATCAGTCCTATTGAATCAATAGGCCACTTTGCATTGCTACTAACTGGTTATTTGGGCTTTAGGCCTATCGACTGCCAGGGTCATTAAGGCCGTCAAAGTGTTGAGACTCCTCGTCATTAATGACCATATGTACGACATTTGATTGGTTGTTGTGTGGCCGCACAGCTTAGGAGGAACACTGTTCTCCAGTACTGAAACTTTTCATGCATTTATATTTTTTTTCTTCATAAAAGAAATGTTGCAGATTGAAACCTCATTTTAAAATTATAATAATTTTTAAACTTCAATCGCAGCTAGATTAGCATGGTTTCTGTGAATAAAACAAAGTCACTTAATGTGCTTTAGTAACAATTTACACTAACCCCTTAACAATATTCAACTTTAAAATAATAAAAAACACATTATGTAAACTGAAATATCAGGTTGTAAGGAATCAGTGAAACTCAAATAATTAACTCTGTCATCACAAGATTGGAGGAAATTAAGCACATCCACAAATTACCACCTTTCCAACCTTCCATGCATCTGCACCGTCCAATTTCATGGTCACAGTCAGAGGAATGGTTCTCTTCACAGTCACATTCACGGCTGCAGTTCAGACCAAAATGTCTTTTCTGGAAAATGAAAGTAAATAGGAAAAATGACCCGAACACTAGCGAGGAGAGAGACTAAAACAAGAAACGTGAGTTACAATAAAAGATTAAATCATATAATTACACACTTAAGACTGCTTTAACTCAAACTTAAGTTGTGTTCTTAAAATATTACACATTAGGACAGACAACAGTCTAAAACTAACCTTGCAAGTCTCGTCACACAATAAGCCCAAGTATCCAGGCGTACAGCTGCAAGCTCCAGTCACAGGGTCACAACCTGCATCATTCATACACTGACAGTGTTGACTACACTGATTGCCAAATCTTCCTTGAGGACAGAGCATGTTACAATAGAATCCATGAAAGCCTGGGCAAAATGTAAAATAACAAATGTTGAAATAATCCAAAGAAGTAAAACTTTCAAAGAATTTGCATTAAAAAAAAAAAACAATATACACACTTTGATTAAACACTGGTCTTACACCGTGTTTCTTGGTTTCAACCCAAACTTTTAAAAAAACAACTGTTCAAATGAAACTGTGTCCAACTGAAAGATGAAGAAACATAGAACTGGAATATAATGTCATCAAACCATAAATTTTCAAGAATTGTAGCTTTGTGAGAATTCTTTTTACTTAAAACTGAGTAAATAATAAAGCCTCAATCATAAACAAGTCCAAACCTGAAGCTACATTAAGTGAAGTTTTATGCATATGTGGTGCTATTTATATTAAACCTATTTATATGAAACCTATTGTCAAACAAAGTCCTAAAATTCTCATGTTTTCTTTGAATATGTGTCTGAAATCTGTTGTGAAGGAGTTAATACACAGATATCAAAGTACGCACTTGAAAATACACACAAACCAATACATGCACTTAAAAAACAATACCTACTCCTCAACCAATGCATAAACACAAAAATACATATTCTCCAACATATGCACTTAAAAATAGTTTGTATTTTATATATTGTAGGCATATATATATATATATATATAGACACACACACACACGCGCGCATATATAGATACATTATCAGCATTTTTAATTTCATTGAAAAGTCAACTGATGCAACTTAAAATTGAAATTATTACTGTAATTAGGCCTAAAAGCAAAATTTCTTTGATAGCTCTATTAATAGAAACATATTTGTCGCAATCCAAAGCAAAAATGAGTTTTCCAATCCCACAGTACGTCTTACTTCTGTATAGAATGAGAAAAAACTAAATTAAAAGTTTGTATATTTTCACCATACAAAAGTGAGTCAACAAGCAATTACAAGTGTTTAATATTTTAGCCAAACAGTTATAATAAATGTGGTGAAAGTTTTAGAAAAATGGCAGTTATAAAGAGCTACCAAATAAGTTGAAATATTGATTACATTTCTGTCACAAATCCTTAATATGTTTTACATATTACACGAATGCAGGAACAATGGAATGTTATTTGAATTTTGAAACAAACAAACAAACTATATTTACGAGCGAGCCTTTGCTGTGCTATACCTCTTGTGCTTTAGAATCAGCAAGCTATTAAGATATAATTTTCAGTCAATGAACTATTATCTACATAATGTAACAAAGTGTAACAATAAAACACGAGCGGGTTCTTTCTTGAGATTACTTTTAAACAGTTCAACCACTTCAATATGTATTATTTATTGAATTGCATGCAAAGCTACTCGAGAGTTATCTGCACTAAGTGTTCCTAATTTAAAATTGCTGGACTAGAGGGAAGGTAGCTAGTCAACACCACCCACCAACAAATTGTTGGGCTACTCTTTACCAATGAACAGCTATATTAACCATCACATTATAATGCCCCCATGGCTGAAATGGTGAGTATGTTTGGTGATGGAATTCAAACCCTCGACTCAAGTATTGTAAGCGAGTGCCCTAACCACTAGACCGTACCAGGTCCTTTAAAACACCACATCAAGCTATCAGTCCAATAACTGTGTTTTACAATTCCCATTCTTTTGGTGATGGAATTCAAACCCTCGACTCAAGTATTGCAAGTCGAGTGCCCTAACCACTAGACCGTACCAGGTCCTTTAAAACACCACATAAAACAACAAGCTATCAGTCCAATAACTGTGTTTTACAATTCCCATTCTTTTGGTGATGGAATTCATTATTAATGTCTGTATGCAGAGAAAGCTATTACTTTAACTCGTACAGAAAAAAAATCTTTGGCAAAAAAAATATGTCAGTGAAATTCAGAGAGAGAGAGAGAGAACAATTCTTAAATGTTTTTTCAAATTTCTTACCTGGAGGACATGAACACTGCCCAGTAATATGTGAGCAATTTCCTTTATTACTGCATGCACAGTTTTGAGTACATCCTAATCCAAACTTGTTTCCAAGACACTGAATTTCACATCTAGAAATAAAGAACTCGACCTTCTCTTACTGAAATATTTCTCATTTGTTAAATAACTCTGAAAATACCAAGTTTGCTTAAAAGAAACTTAATATCAGATGTGTGTGTATAGATTGAGTGGGAAAAAAATAATAAAATGAAATGCATTTTAATCTTCTTTTAAACAGATAGTGAAAACATAAAGCTTGAAAAATCCAGGTAAAAAGGTTTCTATATGAAAATAAATGTCATTAACCAGTGGCTACTCAACAGTTTGAAATAGATGGAAGATACTAGCCTACAGCAGAATAAACTCTTACAAAGTTGTTTAAAAAAACTTGCTAAATGCTTTCTTCATTTAACTAAGCCACATGTATCTCATAACTTTACCACCCTACACTTAGGTCACATGTAAGACAGCTTACCTGGCTCCTCTATAACCCGGTTCACATATACACGCACCAGTTATAGGATCACACAAGGCATTATTCTCACAGTCACAGCGTTTCAAACACCTTTTCCCATACATCAGTGGCATACATGGCCGTGAGCAGGTGTCCCCATCCCAGCCAGGTTTACAATCACACTTTCCAGTCCATGGGTGACAACTTTGATGAGACATATTCAAATAAGATGATTTTTTTTTGGAAATCCAAGAGCAAAGTGTCAACTTTATATATCGATCAACACAGTAAAGAAATATTAAATATACATTGTGAATTTAGGTACGTGCTACAGCTTTAATAAACAATCATAAGTACGATATACATTGTGAATTTAGGTACGTGCTACAGCTTTAATAAACAATCATAAGTACGATATACATTGTGAATTTAGGTACGTGCTACAGCTTTAATAAACAATCATAAGTACATGAAACACTACGCTTAACTGTAACATTAATTTGAAATAGAATTTATAATATGTTATAGTTGCAAAACTGTTTTATATCAAACTTCCAAAACTAAAACAAATATACACTTTAAGTATATTCAAACAACTACAAACATATCTGTCATAAGACGTTAGGATTAGGCCTATTACATTCTTAATCTAGTCCTTTAGGAATTTTCATGAATTAGAAGAGTGTATAATAATAGTATTCCATTAGTATTCAATATTTATTATATCCTTTGCTAAAGAAGCATTTCACTCAATCCAGCAGTGGTCGGAGATTCACCGAAAGCAGACCCCAAATTTGGCATTGATTTACAACAGAGAACATAAATAAGTAGGCCTAATAATTACCATTCGTAACTTGATTAAAGAAATTAAATTTGCATTATGGCAACAGTGATCATTAAACTGAGTAAGTGCAAAATATTAGTTCAAGCATTACATTTGTATTATAGCGGCCCTTTAGATGTGGGTCACAGATTCACTAGTATAATACTAAAATTTGAATTAAACTTTGTAAAAAAAAAAAAAGGCTATGACATAAACACTGTAACCCCCTCCCCCCACACTTAGAGGGTTAACAGAAAATTGCCTATTAATATAAAACAGTTAGATAAGTTGCCATTACTCCTACATTAAAAATATTTTACGACTCTTGATTTTAAAAAAAAGTGTGACTTACGCAAGTGTTGTTTCTTTTCGACACTGACATATTTCTTCACAATTATTCCCATAATTGTCATCTTCACAAGCTACAAAAAAACAACATTAAAATTTGCTTGAAACCAACGTATCCAGATTCCAAAGTTCTCACAATTATCTTCCAGACCACTGGTCACAATATTACGAGTTAATTGTACCATTCATCTTTGCAAAAAGTTGCATGGAAATCCTCCGAGACAATAAACATTCAGGTTCTTGATGTTCTTTTTATATATACATGTTTTTTGTACTGTTTTGTTGCAGATAAGGTTTTGAGTCTATAACTTTGCAACTATATTTGTCATTTTCATTTTGTTTACATCTCATTACGATAAAATATGTAAGGATTAAAATCTACGAACAAGAAAATGGTTCTAAAACCTCGAAGTAACACACACGAAAATCAATACCAACCTCTTTCACCACATCGAGAACCAGTAAAGCCTGGAGGACAAACACAATCACCTGTGGATGCATTACAAAAGGCACCATTTTCACAGTCGCAAACCTATACGTAAAGCAAACGGAGAATTATGATATTACCGAGAGACGTTATTCATGTCCCACCATTAACAGTAAGTAAAGAACTAATTACATTAACTCTAAGTTTATGGGCTTAGCTCATTACTACTCATATAGAGAATACACAGTTCAACAATATTCACGATAACTCTGAGCTGGAGTAAAGCCTGGAGGACAAACACAATCACCTGTGGATGCATTACAAAAGGCACCATTTTCGCAGTCGCAAACCTATACGTA